TTTATATATAAAACTGTTGTATTAGTGTTGTCTGTGTTCTGTTCTGTAAGCCTTCTTTTGCACAATGTTATTAATATTGTTATATATTCATGTGAATTGGTTTGCACAGTTCTGCAAAAAATACATTTTTGTCACGTTCAGCTCACTTAAGTTTGGCTTCTTTTACTTTGCCTTGCTCGTGGAGGCCCCTTAGGTGCAAATAACAAGAACAAAATATGCAAATACACAAAAACATATAAAAAAATATATATAACAAAACACAAAAGGTTTAAGAAAACAGACTGAAAACAGTAGAAACACACACAATGGTATTTTATTTTTTTTAAAAAAGTTTCATTTTGCAAAATGATTTCTTGTCTCATTTGTTTTTCTTTTCATTTTACTGTTTTTCACGCTGTTATATTAGGGCACAAAAGCACCACGATGAGCCACTGTGTCTGTGTTTTATGAGGAGCTGGTTACTGTGCTTTCTTCATGAGGATACTTGGCTGCCATCTACTGGTTGAATCAAATCATTGTTAAGTAAAGTAATAATTTGGCCATCTGTTGCATCTTCATAAAACCACAAACATGACCACTGAATTTGAACCACTGAACATCTCAGTAATGTATCATTGAACAATTTTAACATTTTAAAAAAAGTTAGAAAGCTGTATAAAATGTAATCTTGTAATTGTCTTATTGACAGTTTGAAGAAAAATAGCTTTTAGGTACTAAAAAGAAACAGCTGTCAAAGCACTTCTGCCAACATATTCAAAATCACTTTATTTTTTCATAAGATGGTACATTTCGTCATTTTAAACTTTTGATATGCTTAATATTTTGTAAAATATGGGCTTATGTGATTTGCAAATCATGTAATTTTGTTTGCTAATTTCATTTTTGTTTTATCCGAGACATTAACATGTATATAAAATGTGAAAAATAAAGTTTATCAGCAAAAGTGAAGCTGCAAAACCCATTAGAAACAATGGGAATCAGGGTCTGCCAGACAGAACATTTTGTTGCTGCTCTGAGCTCTCCAATGTGTGGAGGAGGTGGAGGAGGATGTGGTAGTTAATATTCTCAGTGGTATTAGCAATGTGTGCTGGACTGCCAGTTGTGTCTTTTTTCCCTTTACTTAAAGGGAAAAAATAATGAACAATAATGAACAATGTAATACTGCAAACTGCTATTTGAGGGAAACACATTATCAACAACATTATACCTCTCTGTATCCTCACATCAAGTTGGAGTGAATCCACATTAATATGATCCTGGGCTTGATTTGGCTTTAGTTATTTCCTGTCCACATTTCCTTGCCTCTGATTAGCACCTTTGTTCCTGTTTACCTTAAGTGAAATCAAGTGGTACAGATTATCATTAATAAGGACTGCACTCCCTTCCCCTCACATCTTTCACTTGCACATGGGGTGGCATGTATGGTGTGTTTGTTATATTTGCTCTTTTCATTAGGTAGTTTATTTTATTAATTAATTAATTTATCTTGCAGTAAGCTAATAACCCAAAGTGTAGTCTTTGTCCCTTTGTATTTGGGTACAATTGTCAGAGTAGCAACTCTTGCCATAATCATTGTGAAACAAAGGTTGGAGATTGGCCTGTAATTAGCTAAGAGGCCCACCAGAGCATGAGAGCCCCAGGAGGAAAACCTCAGGGACAATGGCGGCCCCCACCCAGAGAGCAGAGGGGAGCCCTGGAAGGGGGGTCACCCAGCCGCTATGTTGCAGAAGCCCTAGGGGGTTGTGGCGATGAGCCTGCAGGCTCTGCCGGCTGTGCCAGAGAAAACTGAGGTTTGGGCCCAGAGAACAGAGAAAATCTTTAGGAATTATTTAGAGACAGACAGTTTTAAAACCATATAACCACTTAATTCAACAAGTCTATGGAGATATATGTCAACGTTTATATGGCTTTAAATGTGTCATAAACAGCGTTAATGTGTGTGTATTTTATTCTCTTAGTTCACTTTACGAAAACACATGGCAACTCCATATACAAAAAGAACAGATAAAGTCCAGTACTGGACTGTTTGTGTGCTTTTGAGGCCAAATCACCCAGGGCTTCCTAGATTAGACTGATGAGTATTTGAAATGTCAGCAATTCTTGATTATTGTAGTTTCATCACTGATTAATCGGTAGTCATAAATGAAGCAAATGTTTCAATTATCCATTCTGAAAAGTAACAAGGCTTGTTTGGTAGACTCATCTTTGGTGATACTGACACCGATAGTGAAACTGATTAGTCCTGGAGAGTAGCTCAGCAAAACAGCTCACCTACATGTACCTGTGGTTCCATCCTCTAACAAATGGTACTGCTGTCATGATATCATGTGCTGTGTAAATGTGCAGGCAGGAGATTGGACCTAAATGCAGGACTCACAGAACACAAAGGCATGAATTTAAAACGGCAGCTTTCACAGCCGTCACAACACAACACAAGGCATGGAAAACAAAGGGCTTAAATACAAACTGGAGTAATCAGGGAATGGGCGACAGGAGGGAAACATGCTGGGAGAAATTAGACCTGACGAGACCAGAGAAACTAAACTATAAACACTGACATGAGACACAGACTTTCAAAGTAAAACAGGAAACACACGACAGGCACAGACTTGATACAGAACAGAAGAAACGTGGAACACAGGGACAGGAATGACGAGAGACACGACTGACAGGGGCAAACAACATATTAAACATTAAAACTGAACTAAACCACTACTAATCATAAACCATGATGAAATCACAGAATAATAATAATAATACAGAAAACACTCGGTCACTGACCCAGGACCATGATAACTGTGTAGTGAGGTGGTTGTGGTTTATATGATTGTCTGATTTTAGTTCATTCAAATTTGTATTTACCTCATTTATGTGTTTAACCCTTCAATGTTCCACATTTCAGCAGAGCTATCAATGAATGAACTTAACTTTGGAATGTTGGGTATGTTTGTCAAACGGTACATGTTTTGTCTTCACAGGAGCTGTGTGGAAGAACCCCTCGTCTGCAAGTGCAGCAGATACTGAACTCGACTGTTTTGCTCTCCGCTGGTGACCATGGATGTCCCAAAGAACACCAAAAAGCCAAAGAAGCCTTAACCTAAAGTTGCTGCCACATTGTTTTCTACTTTGCCATGTCTGATGCCATATTAGAAAATATTTTAAATGGGTTTAAATGTGAGGAATTGAAGGAGTGTCGAATTGTGTTAGATTGTTAGGAGTGTATGTATCATTCTTGATCCAATCTTGCACTGATCCTGTTTGATCTGTTTAGTGTTGAACCATTGCATTTTATTTGTGTGCTTGTGTGAAATTTTGCTCTTTTGTTACTTGTAAAATTAAAGCAACATTTCATTTTGTATTTTAGTTTTTAAAATAAATGCTGTTAAAAATTAATATATTTTCAGAATAAATTATTAATTAATTAAACACAATGTACAAATATGTTCATCTATCTTAAAATAGATACTTTTAAAAAAGCTAACTTTTCTCCACTGTTGTCTCCCATTTTACTGTTTTGTTGTTCAATAGTTTCTAAAAGGAATATGATTTGAATAACTGAACATTCTTGACAGGTACTTCAACTTCTGTTTTGTTATTAATACTGATCTGATCTAATCTAATCTAATCTAATAAAATCTGTGCACATTTGGCTCAAATTCGAGCTGGATCAGGTATTACGAGACTCCTCCTCTGGTACTGATCTGGTGCATTATCAGTAGATAAAGTGCACGCTATGTGGTGCAAAGTAACTATATTTTTTGATTGCCAATTACACTGAGTTCCAGCTGTACTGAGCCTTTTCTTCATTTAGTCCAAAGTTGAGGTAAACAAAGAACAAGTGCGCAATCTAGGAGTTCACAGGGTGCAGTAAAGAAAACGTCCAAGAATGACCATACATAACAATAAATCTAAAATCTAGATTCTAGACTGTTCTTGAAACACATTTTCCTTTAAAGTTGCCCTGCATTATTTTTTTTTTAAATTAAGTATATTACACTTAAAGTAATAACACCTGGTTTACATTAAGAGCAACTCTAAATAAAAGCATCTCTGCTATGGCTGTGGAAAAGCCATCATTTATCAGTGAAGGCTAAGACTACATCAGATTATAAATTCTTACACCAATTTTATTAGCCTAAAAAGAAATGGTCCTGAAAAAAAATATGTTTTTTTTAATCTGAAGGACTTTACCAACATTTTTCAGTACATTCAGATATCAGATTTATATTTTTACTCCTCTTGCTAGGCATAATTTCTGTTAAATTATCACACAAATAAGCGATAACCTGTATTTTATGATTAAATAATACCAAAGTAACAGAAATTAAGTATTCACATAGTACATTTTAGTGCATGAGTTTAGACTCACTGGGCAAATTATAATTTTTTACTTTTTTTTTTTTTTTTACTTTTTAAGTTAAATCTGAAGTAGTTAATCCATTCCCACATGCAAAAAATAACATATTAAAATAATGAAGACATAAATAATTATTAGAGATAAAAATAAGTTAAAAAGTGCTTACTAAAAAATGACAGATTTCAGCATATTATGTGAACTGGAAATAAAATGAAAACAGCAGTATAGATGTATAAAAATCTCACTTTAATTTGTGAGGAATTCAAATGTTGCAACAGTATTTCCTTGTAGGTAAATCAGCACAAATTGTACAATCTTTAATGTCCAGTGCTTGTAGCTTCAGATTTGAATCAGGATACACTAAATATTTTGTCAAGCTAGTTTTATCTGTATCTATAAATAGTCTCCATTTAATTTAAAGCATGCCAGTCATGAGAACTTTAATGGACTCTGTGAGGCTTCTGAATCCTGGTTTAATTGTATTAGAAGACATGTGAATAAACGTTGCTACTTCTAATGCTATTTACTCATGTTCCTAATATTGAAACCATAAATAAGTATAAGAATATTGGCTCAGTTAGCATGAATTACTTGGTCTGAAATAACAGGCCAGGATTTTTGCCACTCCTGATCTCTATGGTGGTCAATCCAGGCTCCATGGCAGAGAGAAGCTCTCACTCTCCAGCTCTTTGGAAATCACAGAGGTGAATCGGGTCAGTTGCTCTGAGCTGAAGTGGTTTTTCCAGTCTCCAACAATACCTGACAACAAAAACATGCCAAGCTTGAGTCACATAAGCATAAAAACACCTGATGAGAAAAGAAATTGATTCTGGGAAGAAATCTAAAAATACACTTTTGATAGGAGATATGGAAACTCGCCTTTTCTTAGAAAAGGAGACTTGTCACTGTTCATGTACACCTTGGGGAATAGACTGAAGTTGGACATGTTGTTGTTCTGCATGCTCTTGAAAGAACAATGCTCTGCTATCTTCTGAATGACTTCCTCAGTCAGATTACAGCCCAGAAAATCGGAGATATGCCTGAGTGATGCAGGCAGGTCCTGGAAGAAACACGGTTGTTATATTATGTGAAACAGTCTGTGTTTTTCATATTTAGCTTTTAATGAAAGCTCATTCTGAAGTCATTTTAAGATCATACTTTGAAAGGTCAGGGATTTGAGTGATTTAAGTAACAGCTTCACATTTTTGGTAAGATAAAAAGTCTGAGTTTTATTAATTGAATACTATACGTCCAAACGTAATATGAACTTTGAGGGGTTTTTTTTAACAGCAAGAATGTTAAAATAACCTTTTCTGTTGGGAATATTGCAGACATACCGACAACACAATGCTCGAAGATAAAGTGTTCTGTACAGTGATCTGTTATGCTTTCCTTTCATGGAAAACAATGGAAGATGTTGTTAACAAAAAAAGTGTTTTACCTGAACCATTTCTTCGTAGGTAATGTACATTATTCTGTCTCCTAGTTCACTGTTTCTCCAGCTCTTTACGTGGTCTGTCCATTTTCCAAACATCACTGCAAATGAGATAGAAATTGGGTAATCATTTACACATGCAACCACTCTTCTACTGGTGATAATAGAAGTGCAGTTTTGATCTCTGACCTTTGCCCTCAAGAAATTTATCCATGAACTCATCAAATGTTCCTGGATCCTCAAGGAAGCCGGCCATCTGGTGGAAGTAGTATGAAGACACCATGATGTCCTTTGGGTTCCTCATGACGTAGATCACCTACAGCAGAAAGAGTGCAAAAACATAATGAGTGTAAAGTCTCTTATATAATCAGGAATGAATTGGGAATATCACACAGAGTCATTACCTTTGCTTTGGAGGCACAGAAGGAAGGGGGCATGAGGTTGTAGGGAAAATGTGAGACCAGTGCCCGTGGATATGCCAGCCTATCCAACACCCGTGCCAGTTGTTTCTCTTCCAGCCATGGGACTCTCTCCCAGTTAGGAATGGTATGGATGGGGGTCAGATCCCCCCCATTCAGCACCAGTGGGAGGATCTCCTGCATCCAGATTGTACCTGAAGAAATAGAATAGAATAGAATAGAATAGAATAGAATAGCCTTTATTGTCATTGTACAAAGTACAACGAAATTGGAGTGCCACTCCCTTGGTGCAAAAAGCAAAATAAATATAAATGTAAAATATAAAAAGTACAATAAAACAACTGTAGTGCTCAGACAATAAATAAGTACAATATATACAGGATAGCAGCATCGTATAATGATAGTATGAATAGCAGCATAGTATAGTG